GCAAAAAATAAATGCCTAGGCAGCACATTGATCAGGTTGGCGGCATAATAGTGCACACTATCTCGAGCTCTCACAGTACGTCAGCGTTTCTCAACCTGTGGGGCGCGCACCCCTAGGGGGGCGTCATAATTCTATACAGGGGGCGCCAACACATCAAAATGAAAAAAAAGATAATTACTAATAAAAAATTAATGTCATTTTGACATTACAAAAAATTAAGTAAGTACAGTACACATTTAACTATTCACTCGTACCTATGTATTTAATTACTATAAATATGATTGTATCGGTAGGTACTGTCAAATGCCAAATGAAACTAATAATAGACTCATCAGTACTAAATTAAAAGTAGCTGTAATGATTATAATTATTAGTGACTCCCTTGGGCCTGTCTCGCACAGCAAAGTTTTTCAAAAGAAGGTTTTATATTACAAATAGCCACTCTCAGTTCTTTGGTCTATATTCAGTCGAAACCTATATTTTGTCTTTAAAGCAGCCACCGCAGAAAATCCGGCTTCAAAAAGGTAGGATGTTGAAAATAGTAATAATATACGAAATGCTCTTGTTTTCCGTGGAGAAAATTCATCATCCAAACCGGTCCAAAATTCAAGAGAGATTTATTACTAAATTCTCTCTATTACTAAATTTCGCCGCTTGCACTAAAGTCTATGAAGATTTCTTTTCTGCAGTTGAGAGGCCTTCGTGAGTAGTTCGAAATGGATCCCTAACCCACTCGTAACTTGCTACCAGTTTGTCGTCAGCAAGAAAATACTTTTCAAAATTCTGTGCCAACATGGCTAAATGACTTCTAAACAACTTTCACATACAGTTCTTCTTCCTTGCATGTTTTGGCACACTCATTCACATTTGCAAACATTTCTAGTTTTTTTTGTTTCACATTTCTGCTCCACAGCTCCAAATTTCTACAGAAAGCACTAACTTTATCACTGTGTGTTTACTCCTTGGAGTTGTAGATTCAGGGTATTTAATTTCTCGAATATGTAACCAATTTCATCACAAATAAAGCATCTCGAAACTTTTTGGCTTCCAGGCGGTTATCCTCTTCTAGAAAAGTGGCAATTTCCTCTTTTAACTCATAAACACATTGTAGAAATTTCCCACGCGATAGCCTCACAATAAAATAGCAACGTTGAATGTTCTGCACCCATATCTTTGCAAAGTGCATTAAAGATTCTTGATTTTACGGGTCTCATTTTTATATAAGTTACTACAGTTACAACCGTCGTTAGCACAATGTTGAGACCAGGACTCATTTCTTTGGAAACCTGAGCCTTTCTATAGATGGTCGGTGTCCAGACACATTGCGGAGACTTTTGTTTTACTTTGTACGCTTTGGAATCTTCCAGATATTGTACAAGCACCATCTGTGCATATTCCAACGCAATTCTTCCACTGTATGTTTGCCTCATTAATAAAATCAATTAAAATATCAAACAAAGCGAGTGCTGTTGCTTTGAGTTCTATAGGTTTGCAGAAAAGTAGTTCTTCTAGTGCCGATATGCGATCACAAAACCAGACATCGGCAATTAAATGATGCGTCTTTGTTGCTATCTGTTGCGTCGTCAAGCTGAATCGAAAACAATTTGTCATAAAACTTTTCGAGAAGCTGGTGCTGTACATCTTCGGCTATATCACCAATTCGGCGGGCAACAGTATCATTTGAAAGAGGTATGGATTGTAATTGTTTGGCAAAATTATCTCCAAACATAGTTTCTACAATCTCCATCGCAACTGGCACAATAAGGTCTTCACCAATGGTGTGAGCCTTTTTATATCTGGCTATTTTATATGATACTTTGTAAGAGGCAAGTAAAACGTTTTCGTTCACAAACAAAGTTTTTTTGAAGAATGATGTTTGCTCTTCATATGACTAATTTTAATTCAAAGAATTCTCGGAGCTTGTTAACGTACTCACTATGAAGTGTTTCCAAATGGCGTCTAAGTTTATTAGGTTTCATGCTGTCTGCTGCCAAAATTTTTATACAAATGACGCAAAAGAAAGGTAGGGGGGCGCCATAAAAATTGTTATTGAAAATTGGGGCCCGAATACTGAAACGTTGAGAAACGCTGCAGTACGTGTAAAATTTATTTTAATATCGTTATTATTTCTAGTTTGATAATTGTGTTTATCGCTCACTTTACGATATGAGATTTGATAATTTTGAATGTATTGTAGACATTCTAGAATGTATGTACTCGGAACAGTCAGAATATTCAATTCAGAGAATTTGGTACTGCAGCATTCGACAAAGCGCAAACCAGTCATGCATCTCTTTTGCACTCGAAAAGTCTGGGCAGAGTGACTCCAGCATAGAATGGCGTAAGACACTTGTGCGTAGAAATCATTTGACAATCAAAGTGTTAAATGGTACTAAATTTATCAGATTTCTATTTGTAAAATACACTTATTTAATTTCCTGACTAAGCTCAGTACATGAGCCTCACGTTAACTTGGAATCAAGTATCACTTTCAGATATTTAACCAGCTGAGTGTGATTTGGAGGAATTTTTGGTGAGCTTTTAATTTTAGCAACAATAACTCGTGGTCAACGCAGTCGAAAGCCTTAGTTGATATTCAGAATATTTTTTGTGCTATTTCCAACGCAAGTTTCCTGGATATGTTGCGATTGTAGTTTTTTCCACAGTTCTAGAGATTTTATATTCTGGCAGAACGGTGTACCCTATTTAGAATAAGCAACTTCGCATCGGTGGTTTGGCCCTTTTGGGTTGGGTTTTTCATCACATTCCTTTGGTACTTTTGATACAACCTGTATAAAGATAACAATAAAGAAAAAAATTTATTCTTTTAAATAATATTTATTTAATGAAACGATTTCCGTCAATCATAAATTGAGTTATGATTTTTTATATCTCCAAAAACATTCAATTTTCGATATTTTATGATTTAATCGCCCATAATCTTTATGTTTTAACTTTGATTATAATTTGGCATCATTCCTCACAATCTACACTATTTTTACTACAAATTCTGAAAATCTCATGATTCCAAACCGATTTTCCAGTGAGTTATGATTTTTATATCTCCAAAAACACTAAATTTTCGATATTTTATGATTTAATCACCCATAACTTTTTTGTTTTAACTTTGATAATAATTTTGTATAATTTATCATAATTTACACTATTTTTACAACAAATTCAGCAAATCTCATGATTCCAAACCGATTTTGTAGTGAATTATGATTTTTTATATCTCCAAAAACATTCAATTTTCGATATTTTATGATTTAATCACCCATAATTTTTTTGTTTTAACTTTGATGATAATTTTGCATCATTCATCATAATTTACACAATTTTTATAACAAATTCAGCAAATCCCATGATTCCAAACTGATTTTCTAGTGAGTTATGATTTTTTTATACTCCTAAAAACATTCAATTTTCGATATTTTATAATTTAATAACCCATAATTTTTTTGTTTTAACTTTGATAATAATTTTGCATCATTCATCACAATTTACACTATTTTTACAACAAATTCAGCAAATCCCATGATTCCACACCGATTTTCTAGTGAGTTATCATTTTTTATATCTCCAAAAACATTAAATTTTCAATATTTTATGATTTAATCAACCATAATTTTTTTGGGTTAACTTTGATTATAATTTGGCATCATTCATCATAATTTACACTATTTTTACTACTAATTCTCAAAATCTCATGATTCCAAACCGATTTTCCAGTAAGTTAAGATTTTTTATATCTCCAAAAACATTCAATTTTCTATATTTTATGATTTAATCACCCATAACTTTTTTGTTTTAACTTTGATAATAATTTTGCATAATTTATCATAATTTACACTATTTTTACAACAAATTCAGCAAATCTCATGATTCCAAACCGACTTTCTAGTGAATTATGAATTTTTATATCTTCAAAAACATTCAATTTTCGATATTTTATGATTTAATCGCCCATAACTTTTTTGTTTTAACTTTGAAAATAATTTATCACCATTCATCATAATTTACATTATTTTTACTACAAATTCTGAAAATCTCATGATTCCAAACCGATTTTCCAGTGAGTTATGATTTTTATATCTCCAAAAACACTAAATTTTCGATATTTTATGATTTAATCACCCATAACTTTTTTGTTTTAACTTTGATAATAATTTGGATCATTCCTCACAATCTACACTATTTTTACTACAAATTCTGAAAATCTCATGATTCCAAACCGATTTTCCAGTGAGTTATCATTTTTTATATCTCCAAAAACAGTCAATTTTCGATATTTAATAATTTAATCACCCATAACTTTTTTGTTTTAACTTTGATAATAATTTTGCATCATTCATCATAATTTACACTATTTTTACAACAAATTCTGAAGATCACATGATTGCAAACCGATTTTCCAGTGAGTCATCATTTTTTATATCTCCAAAAGCATTCAATTTTCGATATTTTATGATTTGATCACCCATAACTTTTTTGTTTTAACTTTTATAATAATTTGGCATAATTCATCATAATCTGCACTATTTTTACTACAAATTTCATAATTCCAAACCAATTTTTAAACTTCTTAATTTACTAACTTTTTAATAATTACTTTTTTTAAATTTTTGATGAGCTTTTAATTTTAGCAACAATTATTGATATAATTGTTGATATTCAGAATATTTTTTATCTGGATATGTTGCGATTGTAGTTGTTTCCACAGTTGACTACAGATCCTAGAGATTTTATATTCTGGCAGAACGGTGCACCCTAATTAGAATATGCAACTTCGTATCGGTGGTTTAGCTGTTTGTTAGGTTTTTCATCACATTCCTTTGGTACTTTTGATACAACCTGTATAAAGATAACAATAAAGAAAAAAATTTATTCTTTTAAATAATATTTATTTAATGAAACGATTTCCGTCAATCATAAATTCAGATTACTCTAACAAAATCGATTGATAAAACTTGGAGATTAGAAAATATCAACAATGACAAACGAAATCTTTATCGTACTCTACAAATTAATATCACACTAAAAAGTTTGTCTATCATCAGCATCTTACTTCTTATCTGAAATGTTAAAGGTCTTTTTTAAAAATTTATTAATCACATATGTTGGAGATAAACTCAATCTAGAATCATTCTCGATAGGAATGGAGTACTAAGGTGGTGGAAACTTTTCATTGAAAATAAAAATAAGTGGAAGATGTTGTTATAAAGAAAGTTCTTGAGAAGAAAGTTGGGGTTCTTGTCAAGGTTACTGATACAAAACGAACGGAGGTTTACGAAAGTGACCGAACGTTGAAAAGAAAATCATGAATCGGCTATCTACGCTTCGAAGAGTTTGTGATTGCACGGAGCTCGGTGGTTTAGTAGCATATTTAGTGCCGTCGAGTGTTCAAGCATTACTATTAAAAGCACTGGGGTCAATAAAAAATAACATAATGGTAAGTAAAAAGTATCATAAAATAATACAGCATAATTTAAATTGTTTAAATTTTAGTTGCGAACATTCCTCCTGCTTGCCGGTTTAAGTGGATTATTTTATTTAATAAAAAATCGATGGTACTGGATCATTTACAAAACTTTTAAAAGAGATTTAAAGTAAGTTTAAAAAACACCAAGTCATTTTTACGTCCTAAAACAATCAAAAATCCTTGGGGATCGCATTTAAATAACAATTACAATTCAATCAGAATGAATTTCAAAACAACATTTCATTTAAAATTCCAATTGGCAAAGTCAAAATGGAATTTTTTTAACACACCCGCTATTTCAAAATTTAAAATTATTAACTTAATCATATCTACCGATAATTCACCAGTCTGACTAATTATTTTTAATTTTGTTTAATGCGGTGATGCTTTGTTTTCGTTTTAAAAACATTTAAAACATTTATCTCGTTTTAACGATACGAAAATATTTACGGTTAATATTAGCAAATCAGTTTAAAGTTTAAAATAATAGTACTTTAAACAAAATTTAAACCAAAAAACTTTTTCTCTGAAAATATAAAAAAGAATACCATAATCTCCTCGGAAAAATAAATACAATTTGGGTCATTATCGACTTTCTCCAAGCATTTAGAGATAAAATTTAAAACAAAAAAAAAAGAATATAAATTCAAATATGATTATTTTTCATCTTTTAGTTATCACTATCTAATTTAACATGATTAGATCCGTATCAGTATTGTTAAGCATATAATTACATTCGATTGATTGATCGTTTTTTATCGGTTCTTGACCTACTTGTAATATTAATATAATAGTTATTATTTACTTTTAGTGCAGCTATTCGATTTGTCCATATGAACTATTACTTAATACAATATCAACTTCGAAACCAAACCGTACCCAAAATATTTAGAAATGTATGGAAAAGACAACCTCATAAAGTGGCGTTTTACTTTGAAGATGACATTTGGACTTTCAAACAAGTAATACAAACTTATTAATTACAGAAATAAACATTTACTTTTTACACTTTTAACAGGTTGAAGAACAAAGTAACAGAGTTGGTAATTACTTTTTGAACTTGGGCTACAAAAGAGGTGATCGCGTCGCACTTTTCCTTGAAAACAGACCAGAATATGTGTGTATGTGGCTTGGACTTAACAAAATCGGAGTAATAACGGCACTTATCAACACAAATTTAACATTAAATCCTTTGTCTCATAGTATACAAGCGGCGAAAAGTAAAGGAATTATATTTGGTTCGGAATATTCCAATGGTAAAATAAAACATCCAATTTAAATCACGAAAACAATAAATTCAATATTTTTGTAGCTGTTAAAGGAATTTACGATTCCATAAACGATCTGGACAAATTCCAATATCACGAAACGACAAAATCTGATAAACCCCTTTTGGATGGGGCTAAAGATTTAAGAACTGCTTTACAAAACTCCTCAACAGAACCTTTAGATGGAGAAATTGAAAAAGGGAACTTAAGAGATCAATTATTGTATATTTATACCTCTGGAACAACTGGTTTACCAAAAGCAGCAACAATTACAAATGTTAGGTACTGATTTTACTCTCTCTAGCATTAGGTATAATTGAAAAGTAATTATTTATTTACAAAAAACGGTCAAGCTAATAACAGTGCAACAACTTTCCGGTCATCGCTTCCAGCCCGAATAATTACGACGGGAAATGAAAGTAGGTTAACTATCTAACAAAACCCCCATGAGGTTTGGCTATATCACATCAAATTAAAATTAAATGAGAATACAGTTAAAAATAAAAATGTTGTTGAATCAAGCTTTACAACTTTTAAGAGTTCTCAATTGCTAAAAGTTTTTGTAGAAAGTACATGTTAAGAACAGCAATCTCCAGAAGTAGATCTTGAGTCCTACTTAATAACTTCACAAGTCAATCCTCATTCTCAGAGTCATTTTTTGGTATTTTATGATATAATCACCGATATTTTTTTAATTTTTATTTTGATAATAATTTTGTATCATTCATCATAATTTACACTATTTTTACAACAAATTCTGAAAATCTCATGATTCCAAATCGATTTTCCAATGAGTTATGATTTTTTATATCTCCAAAAACATTGAATTTTCGATATTTTATCATTTAATCATCCATAATTTTTTTGTTTTAAGTTTCATAATAATTTTGCATCATTCATCATAATTTATACTATTTTTACAACAAATTTAGCAAATTCCATGATTTCAAACCGATTTTCTAGTGAGTTATAATTTTTTATATCTTCAAAAACATTTAATTTTCGATATTTTATGATTTAATCCATAACTTGTTTGTTTTAACTTTGATAATAATTTTGCATTATTCATCATAATTTACAGTATTTTTACTACAAGTTCTGAAAATTTCAGGATTCCAAACAGATTTTCCAACAAGTTATTATTTTTTATATCTCCAAAAACATTAAATTTTGGATATTTTATGATTTATTCAACCATAATTTTTTTGTTTTAACTTTGATTATAATTTGGCATCATTCATCATAATTTCCACTATTTTTACAACAAATTTAGCAAATCCCATGATTCCAAACCGATTTTCTAGTGAGTTATGATTTTTTATATCTCCAAAAACATTGAATCTTCGATATTTTATAATTTAATCAACCATAATTTATTTGTTTTAACTTTGATTATAATTTAGCATCATTCATCATAATTTACACTATTTTTACAACAAATTCAGCAAATCTCATGATTCCAAACCGATTTTTTAGTGAGTTATGATTTTTTATATCTCCAAAAACATTGAATTTTCGATATTTTATCATTTAATCACCCATAATTTTTTTGTTTTAACTTTGATAATAATTTTGCATCATTCATCATAAATTACACTATTTTTACAACAAATTCTGAAAATCCCATGATTCCAAACTGATTTTCTAGTGAGTTATGATTTTTTTATATCCCCAAAAACATTCAATTTTCGATATTTTATAATTTAATAACCCATAATTTTTTTGTTTTAACTTTGATAATAATTTTGCATAATTTATCATAATTTACACTATTTTTACAACAAATTCAGCAAATCTCATGACTCCAAACCGACGTTCTAGTGAATTATGAATTTTTATATCTCCAAAAACATTCAATTTTCGATATTTTATGATTTAATCGCCCATAACTTTTTTGTTTTAACTTTGATAATAATTTATCACCATTCGTCATAATTTACATTATTTTTACTACAAATTCTGAAAATCTCATGATTCCAAACCGATTTTCCAGCGAGTTATCATTTTTTATATCTCCAAAAACACTAAATTTTCGATATTTTATGATTTAATCACCCACAACTTTTTTGTTTTAACTTTGATAATAATTTGGATCATTCCTCATAATCTACACTATTTTTACTACAAATTCTGAAAATCTCATGATTCCAATCTGATTTTCCAGTGAGTTATGATTTTTTATATCTCCAAAAACATGCAATTTTCGATATTTTATCATTTAATCACCCATAATTTTTTTGTTTTAAGTTTGATAATAATTTTGCATCATTCATCATAATTTACACTATTTTTACTACAAATTCTGAAAATCTCATGATTCCAAACCGATTTTCCAGTGAGTTTGATTTTTATATCTCCCAAAACACTAAATTTTCGATATTTTATGATTTAATCGCCCATAACTTTTTTGTTTTAACTTTGATAATAATTTGGCCCCATTCATCATAATTTACACTATTTTTACTACAAATTCTGAAAATCTCATGATTCCAAACCGATTTTCCAGTAAGTTATGATTTTTTATATCTTCAAAAACACTCAATTTTCTATATTTTATGATTTAATCACCCATAACTTTTTTGTTTCAACCTTGATAATAATTTTGCATCATTCGTCATAATTTATACTATTTTTACGACAAATTCAATGAATCCCATGACTCCAAACCGATTTTCCAGTAAGTTATGATTTTTTTTATATCTCCAAAAACATTCAATTTTCGATATTTTATGATTTAATTACCCATAAATTTTTTGTTTTAACTTTGATAATAATTTTGCATCATTCATCATAATTTACACTATTTTTACTACAAATTCTGAAAATTTCATGATTCCAAACCGATTTTCCAGCGAGTTATCATTTTTTATATCTCCAAAAACACTAAATTTTCGATATTTTATGATTTAATCACCCACAACTTTTTTGTTTTAACTTTGATAATAATTTGGATCATTCCTCATAATCTACACTATTTTTACTACAAATTCTGAAAATCTCATGATTCCAAACCGATTTTCCAGTGAGTTATAATTTTTTATATCTCCAAAAGCATTCAATTTTTGATATTTTATGATTTAATCACCCATAACTTTTTTATTTTAACTTCGATAATAATTTGGCATCATTCATCATAATTAATACTATTTTTACAACAAATTCAGCAAATCCCATGATTCCAAACCGATTTTCTAGTGAGTTATAATTTTTTATATCTTCAAAAACATTTAATTTTCGATATTTTATGATTTAATCGCTCATAACTTTTTTTTTTTAACTTTGATAATAATTTATCACCATTCATCATAATATACATTATTTTTACTACAAATTCTGAATATCTCATGATTCCAAACCGATTTTCCAGTGAGTTTGATTTTTATATCTCCAAAAACACTAAATTTTCGATATTTTATGATTTAATCACCCGTAACTTTTTTGTTTTAACATTGATAATAATTTTGCATAATTTATCATAATTTACACTATTTTTACAACAAATTCAGCAAATCCCATAATTTCAAACCGATTTTCTAGTGAGTTATGATTTTTTATATCTCCAAAAACATTCAATTTTCGATATTTTATGATTTAATTACCCATAACTTTTTTGTTTTAACTTCGATAATAATTGCATCATTCATCATAATTTATGGTATTTTTACAACAAATTCAGTGAATCCCATGATTTCAAACCGATTTTCCAGTGAGTTATGATTTTTTATACCTCCAAAAACATGCAATTTTCGATATTTTATGATTTAATCGCCCATAACTTTTTTGTTTTAACTTTGATAATAATTTATCACCATTCATCATAATATACATTATTTTTACTACAAATTCTGAATATCTCATGATTCCAAACCGATTTTCCAGTGAGTTATGATTTTTTATATCTCAAAAACATTCAATTTTCTATATTTTATGATTTAATCACCCATAATTTTTTTGTTTTAACTTTGATAATAATTTTGCATCATTCATCATAATTTACACTATTTTTACTACAAATTCTGAAAATTTCATGATTCCAAACCGATTTTCCAGCGAGTTATCATTTTTTATATCTCCAAAAACACTAAATTTTCGATATTTTATGATTTAATCACCCACAACTTTTTTGTTTTAACTTTGATAATAATTTGGATCATTCCTCACAATCTACACTATTTTTACTACAAATTCTGAAAATCTCATGATTCCAAACCGATTTTCCAGTGAGTTATCATTTTTTATATCCCCAAAAACATTCAATTTTCGATATTTTATAATTTAATCACCCATAATTCTTTTGTTTTAACTTTGATAATAATTTTGCGTAATTTATCATAATTTACACTATATTTACAACAAATTCAGCAAATCCCATGATTCCAAACCGATTTTCTAGTGAGTTATGATTTTTTATATCTCCAAAAACATTCAATTTTTGATATTTTATAATTTAATCACCCATAACTTTTTTGCTTTAACTTTGATAATAATTTTGCATGATTCATCACAATTTACACTATTTTTAGTACAAATTCTGAAAATCTCATGATTCCAAACTCATTTTCCAGTGAGTTATGATTTTTATATCTCCAAAAACACTAAATTTTCGATATTTTATGATTCAATCACCCATAACTTTTTTGTGTTAACTTTGATAATAATTTTACATAATTTATCATAATTTACACTATTTTTACAACAAATTCGGCAAATCTCATGATTCTAAACCGATTTTCTAGTGAATTATCATTTTTTATATCTCCAAAAACATTCAACTTTCGATATTTAATGATTTAATCACCCATAACTTTTTTGTTTTAACTTTGATAATAATTTTACATCATTCATCATAATTTACACTATTTTTACAACAAATTCTGAAAATCCCATGATTCCAAACCGATTTTCCAGTAAGTTATGATTTTTTTTATATCTCCAAAAACAATCAATTTTCGATATTTTATGATTTAATTACCCATAAATTTTTTGTTTTAACTTTGATAATAATTTTGCATCATTCATCATAATTTACACTATTTTTACAACAAATTCTGAAAATCACATGATTGCAAACCGATTTTCACCCATAACTTTTTTGTTTTAACTTTTATAATAATTTGGCATAATTCATCATAATCTGCACTATTTTTACTACAAATTTCATAATTCCAAACCAATTTTTAAACTTCTTAATTTACTAACTTTTTAATAATTACTTTTTTTTAATTTTTAGATTAATGTTAATGGCTGTTGGAATGAATTCAATGGCAGTATTAAAAGATAACGAATGCGTTTATGACCCACTTCCTTTATACCATAGTGCAGGTGGATTATTAGGAATAGGACAAGCAATTTTATGTGGCTCAACGGTAGCCATAAGAAAAAAATTTTCTGCCAGCAACTTCTGGTCAGATTGTGCTAAATATAGATGCACTATTGGTCTATACATTGGTGAAATCTGCAGATATATTTTAGCGGCAAAACAAGAGAAACCTGTTAAACATCACGTAAGAGCTATGTTTGGAAACGGATTAAAACCGCAAATATGGACGGCATTCGCTCAAAAATTCGGAATAAAGGAAATTTTTGAATTTTACGGCGCCACCGAGGGCAACTCAAATTTAGTTAATATCGATAGTAAAGTAGGAGCCGTCGGTTTTATTCCAAGATATGCCAGATGGTTGTATCCTTTAGAATTAATTAAGTGTGATAAGACTGGAGAACCAATTCGGGATGAAAACGGATTTTGCATTCAAAGCGAAATCAACGAACCTGGAATTTTAATTGGACAAATTAGTAAAAGGAAAGCGGTTAATCAATTTAGTGGGTACGCCGATAAAGCGGCCACTGAAAAAAAAATTATGAGAAACGTGTTCAAAAAAGGAGATGAATATTTTAATTCGGGCGATATTTTAATTCGCGATGAATTAGGTTATTATTATTTTAAAGATAGAACCGGGGATACTTATCGATGGAAAGGTGAAAATGTTTCTACGTCAGAAGTTGAAGCTGTTATTAGTAATATTCTTCAATTAAATGATGCCGTTGTTTTTGGTGTTCAAGTAAAAAAGTTAATACTATTTGTTTTTGTTAAATATTTATTTAAATTTTTTATAGATTCCTGGTACTGAAGGTAGAGCTGGTATGGCAGCAATTGTAGACACAGAAAAAAATACGGATATTGAAAAACTTACCGCCGGATTAAAACTGGGTCTTCCCACATACGCTCAACCACTCTTTATAAGATTAATTGAATCGGTTCAATTAACTGGAACGTACAAATTAATTAAGAAAGATTTGCAACAAGACGGGTTTGACGTAACTAAAACTGCGGATAAAATTTATTTTTATGATGCTCATCAAAAGAAATACGTTATTTTAACTAACGAAATTTATGATGACATTCAATCTGGTAAATTAAGGCTATAATAATATTTTTTTAATTATATTTTTATTAAACGTGTAGTTTATAAATTGGTTAAAATAATTTAACATAAAAAGATTTTATAAAATTCCAGTTTTAATTATTTTAATAAGCCCTTCGGTGTTGTTTGATTTTATGGCCAATCTACATGCATTAATCATCTCAGAAGATTTCTTGCCAACTCTTAACCGAGAACTTTTTTGAATAATCCCATTTATCATTTTCATCGTTTCAACACCTTCGTTATAGTTACTTAATCGAATGTTATATCCGTTTATAAGTTCTTGATTAATATTATTTAATTCGTTGTAATATTTAGGAACATCATCTCTTAAAATAAACACAAAATAAATTAAACTCAATGGGAAACATAATTTATTTCTTACAAAGAATTGATTCTACTATCTTCAGCCCTTATAATTAATTCTCTAATTAGAGTTAGTCGATCAGCAATATCAGCTCCTAATCTAATCCGTGTTTCCTGGATTTTATTTAATTTTTCCACCAAATCTTTTAAATTATTTTCTTCTTTAACAAAACAAGCATTAACTTCCAAAGTGTCTAAATTTAAAAACGTCGCTAATGATTGTATTAAATCAGAGGCTAAACCTAAATTATCAGTATAAATCCAAACTTTTCCCGAACTAGAAAAATCCATCCACAACTCGCTATCATCTCTCAAACATAACAAAAAAATTTTTAAATTAGCCTCATTATTAAACTCAATTTCGTTGGTCAGCAAAAAATTTTGATTCAACCACATACAAATTCGTTGTAATCGCTCGTTTATTTGAAACGTAACATAACTTTCCGGTTTGCGTTTAGGGTTGTCTATTTTCGAGTACATTGAGAATCTTGGAAGTTGTCTTGTTATCTCAAACACGTTGTATTGGGTGCTTTTTGGATAACCAACCAAAATCTTCATATGAATATCCACCAGAGTGTCACGAGGAGGTTTTAACGGAACAATTAAACAAGATTTTAACTTAGAATTTGAAGGATGTACAACGTGAGTTTCACCTTCAAAAATTCCTTCAGCAAAAACTATTACTGCTTTTATTATTGTTGAGTTGTTTGTCGAAATAAAAATTTCAACTGAATTCTAAAAAACAAAAAAAAGTTAAAAAAAAAGTTAGTTATAGTTTTACACTAGCACTATCACTAGAACTAACACAAAACCTAGAATTAGAATCATTCGGGTTTAGCCGTCTTGAGAGACGTGCGGCTAAACCCGAATGATTCTAGTTCTAGGTCTAGTGTTAGTTCTACATAGTAGCAGAGTTAGTGTAAAACTAGAACTAACACCAGACTTAGAACTAGAAAGTATCCCCCCCCACCATGGACAGCATGAAGTTGTCCATTTGTCTATTATATGATAACTAACTTCAGATTTAAAATGTCAACCTCAATTTTGACATATTTGTAATCTTCATTAAAAATCCTTTAAAATAAATACAAACACAATATATTTATCTTCAATATTAATGAAGTTATGGTCAACTTCCGGTTAGAAATGTCAAAGTCAATTTTGACATACCTATTTGTAATGGAATCATTCGGGTTTAGCCGTCTTAAGAGTCGTCCGGCTAAACCCAAATGTTTCGAGTCCTAAAGTGTTAGTTCTAGTGACAGTGTAAGTGTAAAACTAGAACTAACACCAGACTTAGAACTAGAAAGTATCCCCCCCCACCATGGACAGCATGAAGTTGTCCATTTGTCTATTATATGATAACACTTCAGATTTAAAATGTCAACCTCAATTTTGACATATTTGTAATCTTCATTAAAAATCCTTTAAAATGAGCCCAAACATGATACGTTTAATTCCAATATTAGTCAAGATATAGGAAACTTCCGGTTTGAAATGTGAATGTCATTTTAACAAATTCTTAATTTTTATAAAATGTCTTAAAATTTATCACAGAAACAAAAATATAACAAAAAAAATTAAGGTTGGTATTAATATTTAATAATTAAATTGCTATCTCCATTGTTGCTTCCGGTTTAACGTTTTTTTATTCAAACTTTTTTGAGATAAGTGCGTCATGCTTGGACTCATTTTAAAGGTTTTTTTAATAAAGAATACATCATGAAAGAACACCATGAAGTTGTCTATTTGTCTATTATATGATAACTAACTTCAGATTTAAAATGTCAACCTCAATTTTGACATATTTGTAATCTTCATTAAAAATCCTTTAAAATAAGTACAAACACAATATATTTATCTTCAATATTAATGAAGTTATGGTCAACTTCCGGTTAGAAATGTCAAAGTCAATTTTGACATACCTATTTGTAATGGAATTATTCGGGTTTAGCCGTCTTAAGAGTCGTCCGGCTAAACCCAAATGTTTCGAGTTCTAAAGTGTTAGTTCTAGTGACAGTGTAAGTGTAAAACTAGAACTAACACCAGACTTAGAACTAGAAAGTATCCCCCCCCACCATGGACAGCATGAAGTTGTCCATTTGTCTATTATATGATAACTAACTTCAGATTTAAAATGTCAACCTCAATTTTGACATATTTGTAATCTTCATTAAAAATCCTTTAAAATNAACGAATTTGTTATGAATGCGAGATAATCGTAAAGAAATCGAATTGTTTTAAAATTAATAAAAATTAAGTTAGAATTATTGATAAAAAAATCGGAATAAAATTTTATTATTTTAAGGTTATCCAACTTGACTCGGTTACCATGGTGATTAAGATCCAAATATTGCACTTGCTTGTCAAAATTGACGTTGATTTTAAGTTTTTTTAATGAAAAACACATAATTAATTGGATTTAAAGGTTGTATTTAATTCAAAATGGGTAAGTGGATTAAATAAAAAAAAATATTTTTAGATCATTTTAATGTACAAGAATTTAGGGTTAAATAACAATTAAAACTAGAACTAACACTAAACCTAGAACTAGAAAGTTTTAGGTTTAGCCGGGCGTCTTAGAGGAATGTTTATAGATAATTTGTAGAGAATTAAATTCTATTTTTCTACTTACAATTAAACGGTGTAATCAAAACTATAGCATTCCATTTAAAATAACGAAGTTATGGNTTAATTCCAATATTAGTCAAGATATAGGAAACTTCCGGTTTGAAATGTGAATGTCATTTTAACAAATTCTTAATTTTTATAAAATGTCTTAAAATTTATCACAGAAACAAAAATATAACAAAAAAAATTAAGGTTGGTATTAATATTTAATAATTAAATTGCTATCTCCATTGTTGCTTCCGGTTTAACGTTTTTTTATTCAAACTTTTTTGAGATAAGTGCGTCATGCTTGGACTCATTTTAAAGGTTTTTTTAAGAAAGAATACATAATGAAAGAACACCATGAAGTTGTCCATTTGTCTATTATATGATAACTAACTTCAGATTTAAAATGTCAACCTCAATTTTGACATATTTGTAATCTTCATTAAAAATCTTTTAAAATAAGTACAAACACGACATATTTATCTTCAATATTAATGAAGTTATGGTCAACTTCCGGTTAAGAATNAGTTATCATATAATAGACAAATGGACAACTTCATGGTGTTCTTTCATGATGTATTCTTTATTAAAAAACGTTTAAAATGAGTTCAAACATGATGCATTTATCTCGAAAAACAACAAAGTTGTAATAAAAAATATTAAAGTTGGCAACAATGAAATTAGCAACATAATTTTGAAATATTAACACCAACCTTGATTTCTCATTTTTTTATTGTATTTTTGTTTTTATGATAAATTTTAAGACATTTTATAAAAATTAAGAATTTGTCAAAATGATATTGACATTTCAATCCGGAAGTTGATCATAACTTCATTAATATTGAAGATAAATGTATCGTGTTTGTACTTATTTTAAAGGATTTTTAATGAAGATTACAAATATGTCAAAATTGAGGTTGACATTTTAAATCTGAAGTTAGTTATCATATAATAGACAATTAGACAACTTCATGGTGTTCTTTCATGATGTATTCTTTATTAAAAAAACCTTTAAAATGAGTCCAAACATGACGCACTTATCTCAAAAAAGTTTGAATAAAAAAATGTTAAACCGGAAGTTAGCAACAATGAAGATAACAATTTAATTGTAGTATTAAATATTAATACCAACCTTATTTTTAATTTTTTTTATTGTATTTTTGTTTTTGTGATAAATTTTAAGACATTTTATAAAAATAAAAAATTTGTCAAAATGACATTGACATTTCAAACCGAAAATTGCTTATATCTTCACTAATATTGGAATTAAACGTATCATGTTTGGGCTCATTTTAAAGGATTTTTCACGACAATTACAAATACGTCAAAATTGACTTTGACATTTCTAAACGAAAGTTGACCATAACTTCATTAATATTGGAGATAAATGTGTCGTGTTTGTACTTATTTTAAAGGATTTTTAATGAAGATTACAAATATGTCAAAATTGAGGTTGACATTTTAAATCTGAAGTTAGTTATCATAATATATAATAAACAAATGGACAACTTCCTTCATGGTGTTCTTTCATGATGTATTCTTTATTAAAAAAACCTTTAAAATGAGTCCAAACATGATGCACTTATCTCAAAAAAGTTTGATTAAGAAAACGTTAAACCGGAAGTTAGCAACAATGAAGATAGCAATTTAATTATTAAATATTAACACCAACCTTACTTTTTAATTTTTTTTATTGTATTTTTGTTTTTGTGATAAATTTTAAGACATTTTATAAAAATTAAAAATTTGTTAAAATGACATTGACATTTCAAACCGGAAGTTGCTTATATCTCGACTAATATTGGAATTAAATGTATCATGTTTGGGCTCATTTTAAAGGATTTTTCACGACAATTACAAATACGTCAAAATTGACTTTGACATTTCTAACCGAAAGTTGACCATAACTTCATTAATATTGGAGATAAATATGTCGTGTTTGTACTCATTTTAAAGGATTTTTAATGAAGATTACAAATATGTCAAAATTGAGGTTGACATTTTAAACCTGAAGT